ATGTTTGCTTTTTTGTTTTCACCCTAAGCCTGTGCCCACTGCACTGGCTCAGGTGGATAGAGAAAAGATCTATCAGTGGATCAACGAGCTGTCCAGTCCTGAGACAAGGGAAAATGCTTTGCTGGAGCTAAGTAAGAAGAGAGAATCTGTTCCTGACCTTGCACCCATGCTGTGGCATTCATTTGGTACTATTGCAGCACTTTTACAGGTGAGTATTTATCCTTGAGTGGCAGTTCAGTTCTGTTCATCATCACTTTACTTTTGCCCAAGATTTGAAAATTAGATGGGTGATTCTTTAAACATTAACATTCAGAAGAACGTGTAGAAAAGTTTAAAGTATTTGTTAAAATGTGGATTTTTGGATCCTACCCAAGAGATGCAATTTAAGTCAGTCTGAGGTGAACTCTAAAAACTGTTTTGATAAGCATTTTCCGTATCCCCAGGTGATTCTGATGTAGATGATCTAAGAACTACACTTTGAGAAATACAGCTTTAGGAATACTATAAGATAAATCCATATGACAGGTGGAAAGTAAGATGTAAGGACTGCAAGGAAAAGAAAATACCAAAGATTTAATAATTGTAAAACTAAAGAACAAGTGGAATAGACATGGTGCCTCACACCTATAATCCTAGCACTTTAGATGAGGCCAAAGCAGGAGGATCACTGGAGGCCAGGAGTTCAAGACCAGTCTGAGCAACATAGCAAGATGCCCATTTTTCTATAGAAAAATGGTAGTGCGTGCCTATAGTCCTGGTTGTTCAGGTAGCTGAGGTGTGAGGATCACTTGACCTGACCTTACAGCTATGATTGGTGCCATTGCACTCTAGCCTGGATAACAAATTGAGACCCTACCTCCAAAAAGAAAAAAAAAAGAATAAATAACTGAAATTTGGTTCAAAACAGAATGGCCATTGATGGAGGAAAAATTGATAACGGTACAATACCAAAATACTAAGACAGTAGAATGAGCATCCTTTAAGCTCTTGCCTAACTTTCTTAATAATTAGGTTAATTTTTCAAAGCTAAGTAAATTTATATTCCATCTGTATTGTACATAGCCAAGAAACTGATTTTGTTACAAAAACATTTTGTCTCTGTAGAAGTTTTAGAATTAAAATAAATAGAATTATTTTCCACAAATTGTCACTTTTTTTTTTTTTTTTTTACAAGAGGCAGAGTCTCACTCTGTCGCCCTCAGTAGAGTCCCATTGCGTCACATAGCTCACAGCAACCTCCACCTCTCAGGCTTAGGCGATTCTCTTGCCTCAGCCTCCCAAGTGGCTGGGACTACAGGCACCGACTGCAATGCCCAGCTATTTTTGTTGTAGTTTGACTGGGACCAGGTTCAAACCTGCCACCCTCGGTATATGGGACCAGCGCCTTATCCACTGAGCACAGGCGCACACAAATTGTCACCTTTTAACAGTACATACATTCACTGTTGTTTATACATATCTCCATTCATAGACCCTATTTTATAATGCTGCCTAACCAAACTCAGACTTCTTTATGAATCGCTACAGTTGACTTATTAACACTTTGTGGATAGTGATTTCCTCACCATAACTTAAAGCAGGATTCTGACAAAGGGAAAGGTTTTTTTTGTTTGGCTCGGTGCCTGTGGCTCAAGCAGCTAAGACGCCAGCCACATACACCTAAGGTGGCGGGTTCAAATCCCCAGCCCGGGCCCGCCAAACAACAACGATGGCTGCAACCAAAAAATGGCCAGGCGTTGTGGCGGGCGCCTGTAGTCCCAGCTACTTGGGAGGCTGAGGCAGGAGACTCGCT